AACGTGTGAAGTGGTGCGTGGATCTGACCGACGTTGTGCGTAGGGGCCGTGCCGACCCGTGCTCAGTTTTAAAGTATGTGCTGCCCAGACAAGTGCTAGTCTTTCTCTTTAATTTCAGCTTTTATTGCGTATGGCTAGATAGGTTCTACTTTGGGGAGTTTATTGATTTTCTTTATAGCTTACTACATTATAAAATTTTTTAAATAATGTTTCCTCTCTGGGTATGTATAATATATTAGATCAGACTTGTTCATTGTTACACAAATATTTTTACTCTTTTAACTCTTTTTTCTGTGCTCATTAATATCCTTTTCTCAAAAGTGGAAAGACTGCAAACATACTATTATTTATTTATGTCTCGATTTTTTTGTATACATAGTTTTATCATCATGATCATAACTATTTACATATTTTATCCTACTAATGAATTTTATTTCTAAGAATATGGAACATCTCTGTTTTCTCTTTAAATATCACGTTTGCATGGTATCAATATTGCAACCTCGTTCTGGTCAGTGATGTGTGGTGAGTCCTCCCTCCCTTCTCCCCCTTCTCTACTGTCCCCTCCATAGTTTTATTTTTGCATCTAGATTGATCCTTAAAAGGTATGTTTTTATTTTAGTTATTTTCTATTCTTATAAAGCACCTTGCTATATGTGATCTTTTTGGACTTCACTTTTTCTGCTCAGTATTATAGTGCCCAGATTCACACCAAGTGGAAATGTATTGCTGTTTTTAAAGAACTTTGAGGTATACCTGTGATACATTCAACTGTAGGTGTTTTAAATCTACAGCATAGTGTTGGTCTGTTCGTACATCTATGACACCATCATGATCATGACAGTGAGCATATTTCGCACCTCGTCTAGGTGTGCGGGAAACATAGGCACATATGGTCACATTCTGCAGTTGTCTAGGTGTGCGGGAAACAGGCACATTCGGTCACATTCTGCATTTGTCTAGGTGTGTGGGAAACAGGCACATACGGTCACATTATGCATGTTTAGGTGTGCGGGAAACAGGCGCATTCGGTCACATTCTGTATTCGTCTAGGTGTGTGGGAAACAGGCACATACGGTCACAATAGCCACCTCTTCCATCCGCTCACTCTGATGGATTCGTGGTGTCAGGGTCTTTAAACACTCATTTAATATAAATGAACTAGGTTTTGTATGTGGTGCTTTTATTTTCAGACAGTCCTGGATGACAGCAGAGGCTTCGTTCAATGGGCTGATGCCATCCAGCAGATCGGTAGGTGCACATCAGCACCCCCCTTGGCTGTCTGGAGGACAGTCTGCTGGACTCGTTTTATGGAGTAGTGATATTAGTCAAAATAATCGTTTTCCACACATTCTGTTTTTTTTCTTTATTGATTTTAGAGAGAGAGGGAGATAGAAACATCGATGAGAGAGAACATCCATTGGTTGCCTTCTGCATTGGTTGCCCACTGGGGGTCGGGCCCACAACCTGGGCATGTGCCCTGACTGGGAACTGAACTGGCGACCTCTTGGTGCAGGGTCGACGCCCAACCACTGAGCCACACCAGCCGGGCGACCACACATTCTTTTGGTGTTATTCTGAGTAAAATTGACACCCAGAGAACTGTACCTCTTTCACATCAGCGGTTATCGCAAGCCCTTAGCACATAGTAAACTGAGAAAGTACAGAATGATGTTGAGAGAAAAATGGGTTTTCCAAACAAAGTGTGAAAACCCTGCCTTATTTTCTCCTCTGTTTACTAACTTGTATCCACCCTGCGCTCAAAAGTAAACTTATGCCTCCAGAGAAATAAGCCTCTGGAGCATGACCCTGGATTTGTATTAAAAAAACACCTTTAGGTTTTCAAATAAAAATACATTTGTTATTATTGTAATGAAGCTTTGGTCCTATTTAGAAAGGAGACCTTTAAACCCTTTTGATCTGGGGAGAAATAACATCCTTAACAATTCTCAGTTCTTATTCTAATATTTCAGAATAATGGGAAGCAGACTGTTTCCTTCAATGTGCCACGTGTTCTGAATGTGTTGATTCTGAGGGAACACTTGAGCTCAAAAATGGAAGGAACACTGCACTATGTCCTTCGTATCCCTGTAGCTCCTATTTTTAGAACTTTTACATTCTTTCCCAAAGATCATGAACCTGTCTACAGCTTAATTTTTTCATGTCTCTTTTACAAAATAAGGAGTTATGAGAACCTTTAGGAGGAGTTTGATAGAATATCAGAATCATAAACCTCAGTATTTAATACAGTAAATTACGTTAGAAAGGCCAGAGCTTTGGTCTAGTAGGCCATAAAAGGTAATTAAAAGAATAAGAGGGGTATAAACTCTGATGAGATCATGTCTGTATAGTATTAGTTTTCTTCTATACGTTTATTAGTACAGCACATTGTGGCCATGTTGCTGAAATGAGAAGCCACAACTGTGAGTTGAAAACTAGACTTACGTTTCTCAGTGTGCATGTGAATCAGCCATCCCTAACTAGCTTTGGTCTTTCACATCGACTCTGAGAATGTTAGAAAGGGGGAACTGAGAATTTATTGTCTAAGGCCATTACGGTACTGGTGAGGAAACTGAGGACCAGAGAAGTCTCTCTGTTACGAGTTGCAGGATGGATCCTGGCGTAGACACCTTGACTCACAGTTCAGGGCGGTTTCTAATGCGTCATCTGTGCGTTTGCCTGGGGGAAGCTGTCTGCTTTCGATGCTTATGTGAAATGAACAGTGTTCAGTAGAGTGCCCAACAGAGTATTTTCTCTATATGTATGTATATTTTTAATTGAATTTATCGGGTGACATTGGTCAGTGAGATTATACAGGTTCCAGGGGCACAGTTCTGTGACACATCCTTTGTGCGTGGACTGTGCGCACCACCCCGTCGTGTCTCCCTCTGTGCATGGACTGTGTGTTCACCTCTCTATCGTGTCTCCGTCCACCCTCATGTACCCCCTTTGACAAGAGTCTTCTTTCACTTGTTAGGAGGGCAGGACTCCGTGAGGCCAGGCATGCGATTTGTGAATGGTGTTAGGAAGGAAGGAGATTCTGGGGCCTTGCAAGTGATTTTTGGTCCTGATTGATTCATATTTTGAAAAGGACTAAGTGAATCATAGATTCTGTGTCTCAAGAGTATATTTTGCTTTTTCTTGTGCCCAAGGCATAGGAATTAGAATCTGGAGTACATACAAAAAGATGACTGCATTTTACACAGTTGTACTCCTTCTTTCCTAGCACATGTTGCCCGGAGCAACTGGAACAAATCGACCCTCTTTCTTTCTTTCTTTCTTTCTTTTTTTCTTTATTGATTTTAGAGAGAGAGGAAGGGAGAAGGGGGGAGAGAGAGAGAGGTATCAATGAGAGAGAACATCAACTGGCGGCCTCCTGCATGCCTCCTGCTGGGGATCGGGCCCACAACCTGGGCATTTGCCCTGATCTGGATTCGAACCAGCAACCTCCCTGAGCCACACCGGCTGGGCTCGACCCTCATTTCTTTAAAGAGCTTGCTTTTCCTTGCATTTTCTATTCATGTTAATTTTGCAATAAAACTAAGAATACATATTAATTGTCCAATATTTGAGAACGAATAATTTGCACTGTTAACATTTTGATGCAATTACTTTCTGCTTTTTTTATACAATATAAATTTACACGTATTTGCATATAAACCGCACTGCATGGATTTGAATCCTGAGTTGTTTGTTATTATACGATGAATGCTTTTTAATGTTACTGTTGTTCAACATTAGTGAAGTCTGTGTGGTCTGTCTCATATTGATGCATGGACCAAAATTTACGGAGTCAACACCCTACTGCTGATATTTCATTGTAAATCTCACTGCAGTGGACATATTTGCAGAGATTTAGCACTTCTCTACTTCCTTTTGGTGATTTTACAGAAGTAAAATTATATAAAATGTCTTTACTTTTTCTCCTGAGCATTTTATTAAATATTAGGCAGACGGGGGCTCTGACAGTGGGCTGTTGGTTGGGAAAGAAGCAGGGATGCCTGTGTCTGAGAAAGGTCGTGCCCCCTTGGGGAGATGAGATTCTGTGCACAGACCTAGCCAGCTCCAGGGATTAAGAAAGGGCGTGACCACGGCCTGGGGCTAAAGGTTAGGTTCTAGGGCAGGGCAGGGCTCAAACCACATCAGGAATCTAGAACAATGAGTAGGAAGGAAACATAATTAAGCAACCAAATTACATGGATTCTACTATAGCTGAGGATAGCTTGAGGGAGAGGGTCTAAACTAATATCTGGGAAGGAGAGTGCAGATAAAAGATCTAAGGTTGCTTGATTGCCTGGCAATGCTAGAACCATCTGAGCTGTGATGTCATGAGTTTAAGCCCAGAATGGTCAGCATGGTCTGTAATTATAACCGCGTTGGTCTGTCAGGTACGAGCACCGTAGGGAGAGACTGGGTTTTGGGTTGGGATGTGGGCACGCAAGTGTGAGAGGAGAGGGCAAGGGAGCTGCGAGCCTGGGAGGAGGTCATAGTGATGGGCCGTAAGATTATGGATGGATGCAGAGACTGGGCCCCGCTGTGCTGCAGCCAGCCCGGTTGTGCTTGCTGCTACCTGTCCCCTCCTCCCTCCTGTCCCAGCTCCCAGCCCAAACACACACGCCCAGTTCAGACTCCCAGTGTGGGTAGCAGGCGTGGCACTTCCTTCTTGAAGTCTTTCCTTTTCACCCCAGGGAGCAGGGACCCTTTCCCTCTGCCCTCTCTCAGCCTCTAACTCCCCTATGGACACCAGTGTCTGTGCTGCACCCCTCCTGCATGTGCCGGCACCCTGGGCACTTGGCTGATGTGCGCACAGGTTTGCCGAGTCGATGGAAACCTCAAATGAAACAGTCTCATCCAAAGTAACCGTGGAAACCAGTGTTTCTTGAAGACGGCTTTTATTTTTACCTACATCATCTTTTCTGTGCACTGCAGTCTAGCAGCGGTATGTTAATTTTCATTTGTCACTGTCATGATCTTTATTATTTCACTCATTTTTCTTGCAGGAGCACCTTTCGTTGAAGAAGTACATTATTGACATTGTGGTCGAAAGCACAGCCCCCGCAGAGCCTCTCAGAGATGGAGAAGAGCGGCAGAGAAGTAAAAGGAAAGCCAAGAAGATAAAGGCCCGCATGAACTCCAGGTACCCAAACATCCTCAAACAGCACGAAGGCAAAACTGCTAGTGCTGTATTCTTGTCTATGTAAATTCGAGGAAGACCTCCACCCTCCAAAAAAGTTTGAAGTTGTTTACTTCCAGAATAGCTTGAAAACAACACTGATGAGCCTAATTTATAGCCACTCTTCCTGATTGAGAAGGAGCGGATCGATCGCAGCCCTCCCTCGCTGCTGAGAGCTCTCGCTGTAATTGGACGCCAAGGCCTGCCAAGCGTGTGCCTCCTCCAGCAGTGGTTTGTCTGAGTGTGTGTAAACCAAGCCTGCTTTTCTTTCCAAGTATTGATTTTTAAATGAATTATTAGAGAAAATCAATAGCAATCAACAAATAGGAGTCTGCTGCTGTGGTGTCAAGTTCCATGACTAGGTTTAATCAATGTGGTTGCCTGTCACAACAAGAAAAAGTTCAAGAAATATCTGGAAATGGAAAGTGAGTTGTCAGACCTGTAGTTTGTCATCCGCCTCAAAGGGACAGCAGAGGACCAGGCCGCCATGCGGCACTTCCCGAGCTCACAGGCTCCGCGTCCCCTGGTGACCAGCGAGTCTTGTTCAGGCACATGCCGTTCCTCCTGAGCAGGTACTGAGAGAAGGTAGTCTGAGCATGGCCTCGTGCCTTTGTTTCCAGCGTCTCGGAAGAGGCAGACGCTGGGCACGTGGGAACGCAGACATGTGGGTCTAGAGAATGGTGAGGGGGGGTCATCTCCAGAGTTCCCAGTGTCAGATTGTGATCAATGAGAGGATCCCTTTCATCGTACAGAATCGGTGAGAACTTTAGAGTAGTCACTGAAGCAAAGGATAGCAGAAGAGGCTTTTCTTCATGTCTTTTCTGAGGTCCCTCCAACTTTCTAAAGACCGTTCCACAGTCAATTTCAGGAGGTGACAGGCCTTCATTCTAGTTTATGCAGGGACCCTGCTGACCTGCTGACTGTGGGGTACTGTGGACCCCGACCTTTGGACGTCTTTGTTTGCCCTCCTGTGCACATTCACTAGGTTAATATCCTCCCCTTCCCAATTGCATATGTTCACTGTACCTCCAAGTCGGTGTGTCCCCAATAAGGTCCTGCTCTTTCCTCCCATCCCCAGCCCCTTCGCTTTCTCCCTGTAACCTCACATCCGGTTCAACCACAAATAATGTGAGCTTTGCTTTAATATATACTAGGCACCTAACTGTGAACTTCATGCTGGCCCTGTCGGCCTCCCTCTTCCCCCTGGATGGCTGCTGGCCTCTGCGGTACCCTTGTCCCACCCTGGCCGTGCTGTCTGCTGTGGGCACTGGTCAGAGCGAGCCTGGTAAAGTGCACGTCAGAGCGTGTCTGTCCTCTTCCCGGAGGCCTCTTCCCGCAGGTGTCCACACAGCCAGTTCTTGCTCCCCTGTCTCCACTCCAGCCCCACAGAAGTGTATGTTTTGATGGGGCAGACATCTTCCTGAGCCGCAGCTCCTTTGGAAATGGAGAGGATGCCATGTTAATTTTTAGACGGTACGGCACGGCTGTCATGCAGCCCCTGTCGCCATGCTTGGGGCACACTCAACCTGCCTACTGTCATTTTCTCCACCTTTCGTAGGAAGTCAAGTACTTGCAACTACAAAGGGGTTATTTCCCCATTTTGATACGTCTTAATACTTTGACTGATAGCATTGGACAAGAGTAGGTTTAACTGATACATGATTTAGTGTTTAATTTATGTAGTTGTTCACTGTGTCCCCAGGTGGGACGTGTGCTAGTGTGCTTTTCCTTATCGGGCCTGCTGTGGCTTGTGTTCTGCACGTTTCATGAAGTGGAGTTTATTCCCCTCGTCGCCGTCTGCGTTGCTTCGTACATGTGACTGGTTCTTCATAGGTTGCTGAACTAAAGCTTTGAGCCTAGGAACCTTGGCGGGAGCAGCTACATTTTAAAGTAGCTTTTTCCTCCCAAAGGGGAAGTTGACAAGTTCAGTCACCGTGCGTGGATGCTGTAGGCCCCAGGGTGAGGCTCAGGGCCTGTGGGTGCGTCACCTGGCTGGTTGGGGCAAGCTGGCACCAGTCACAGGGCGGGCAAGCGCTATCTCAAATTGTTCCAGACACTTGGCATTGTGTCATACGTGACAAGTGCAAACCAAAACAAATCTTTGAGTGTCTGGTCAAATTATTTCTGCTGACATTTAAATCATTTCTAAAGTGAAATGATCATTCTTTGCCTGTATTTACTTTTACATATTAAGTACCTTTTGAGTTCATAGATGCTCAGCCACCTCAGCTCCCCTGTGGGAACGTAACGTGGTTCTGTACGTAACGACCGTGACTGACACCCGTCAGCCCAGGAGTGCTTTATGTCACTTTCTCTCCATGAGGAAATGCGCAGTTGTAGTCTATGTTGGCAGCGTCCGTACTGTTTTAAAGAAGTCGCAGGGTCACTGACAGCGATGGTGCCTTCCCCCAGGGCCAAGGAGTACGAACGTCTGATGGAAGCAAAAGGCTCCGGCTCCGACTCACCCCACAAGGCCAAGTGAGTACCCTGCTTTCGGCGTCCTCCTTGGTCTCTGCCTGCAGCTGCCTCAGTCTGAACCCCCACGTACCTGTCCCCGTGGGACTTGTGTCTGGTGCCTAGGACTGGGTTCTCCTGACACGGTGGTGTCCCACTGGGGACGATTTGCCAGGGACTTTTGTCCCTGATAACATGTTGGTCATCACAACTCGGCAGACGGTGCCCACGGCCACCCAGTGGGTGGGCGCCAGGGGTCCGTCAAAGGCCTTCAGTACACAGACAGGCCCCCACCACCTGCACTTGAACGTCACTGTTCTGACAGCGGGTTCTGGCAACTCTGCCAGCTCCTGCTGGGGGGCCTCCTTCAGGACCCTTGTGGCGGCTGCCCTGGACAGCTGAGGCTGCAGACTCCAGGGCTGGTGTGAGTGTGATGACACCACGCTGTCCTGGGCGTGCTGCCCCCATGCTTGTCGGCTGGACTGTGGGGTCTGACACCAAGAGTTCATGACATAATGTGCCCGCAGCTCGAAGGCTTGAGTCGGGACGGGAACACCTGCGCAGGTGGCTCCACGCATCTTTCTGCTGTGCTCTCGCCTCCCCACTGCCAACTCCGTTCTGTTTGAAACGCCACCCAGGAGGCGATGGCCAGCTGCCCCCCGCCCTGTGCACAGTGCCTCCCTCCGCTTCCTTCGGGCCGGGCTAGGTGGTTGTGGGGACAGAAAGCCGGGCCTGGGGAGTGGTGGCTTTTTACATTTCTCCCCCCAGAAGCTCTTTGAAGCAGTTTCTAATACGATAATGGAAGTAATTTGTACTTCAGTATGTTTAGAAAAATGAAACGTCGTAGTCTAGTCACGAATGTCAGCAGTCCCTTTCACTCATTCCTTTTCCTCTCATTTTGTATTGAAGGCTTCAGCGATTAGCCAAAGATCTCCTGAAGCAACTGCAGGTCCAAGACAGTGGGTCGTGGGCAAACAATAAGGTTTCTGCATTGGATCGGACCCTAGGAGAGATTGCTAGAATATTGGAAAAAGAGGTATGTAACACATGTCTGGCCTCTGGCCTCTATCTTTGGAGCTCTTTCTCGCAGAGACAGGGAAGGCTACCAGGCTGAGGCTCCTTGGTGCATTTCTTTCGTGTTTCCAAGGGCAGTCGGCCACTGAGGGATAATTTCCTTTTGTTCTTGATTAGATTGAGCTTGTTTTCAGTTGTTTTAATGGAAGTCCTCAATAACAACAATATGCTCCTTAGGTCATGGTTTTCGCAGTCATATTTTTCTCCACACAAACAAAATGAAATTATTTTAAATGGAATTAAACCAATAAAGATATACAGTTTTATGGTAGAAAATATAAAGCTTTGAATCATAAAACTCATAAATCATAGATTTTCTCAAAATACCAGTTTTCTTCCTGTTTTCAGACGATTTGGCAGTTTTCTTTAATGACTTGGTCGTTAAATATTTCAGTGACAACTGAAAAAAATCCTTAATCATTTTAAAAGTATTCACTATAGAAAATTTTAAATGTACAAAGAAGAAACAGAACTGCCTCTAATGCCCACTATTGACATTTTAATTGTTCCTGTTGAAGGTAGTGGCCGTGCTGTTTATCACCTGCACTTTCTATTTCTTATTCTCTGGGCTTAAAACTTAGTATAGAGCCTTTTCTACATAAAAAATACTGCAGTGACAAAAGCGGCAGGAATGAGCAGTGGTGAAGCCGCACCTTGCTGCCGAGCGCGCTGCCCAGTGCAGTCCTGGGCGAGCGCTGCCCGGAGGAGGGGTGGCCCTGGCTGGTGTCCGGAGCAGCTTCACTGCTCGTCACACAGGTGTATTGTCAGTCAGTATCCTGCTTAGTCTTGCTTGTATTGTGCCTTCATAAAATATTATACTTTAAACTTTCATGAACTATAACATTCAAAATGATGGTTCTGAGTTTTATTTGAGCTCATAGATGTAGCTGTTTTCTCTGTTGTATAGTGACTGCTTCATTGTGTGAACACCTCGGGTTTTTTTCATGCCCTCTCCTGGGGTGGACGTTGTTTTCAGGAATTGGATGTGCATGGTTGGGGGGTTAGAGACTGCCGCACACGTCCCTGCCCTGGCGCATATGGATGAGAGTGTGTGCCAAGGGGGGCCTCAGACTCCAGTCTGCATCAGAATTGCCTCAGGGACTTTGGAGAACACAGATTGCTGGCCGCCCTGGGCTTTCTGACTCAGTGGGTGTGGGGACTTAATGCTTCTGGCAGGTTCCCAGGTGCCCTGCACTGGTGGTCACGGCGTGTGCCTCGGGGTCACAGCCAGTTCTGTTTATACCGTTGTGCTTCGCCACATTGTGGCCCCAGACGGTACAGGCCCCTGTGCAGCTGGGGGCAGCAGGTTCGCTGTGGCACGGGGGGGGGGGGGGGGAGGGGGGCGGGGGCAGAGTTCAGACCTGGCCCTGTGGGACATGTGCTGAAGGGTGTGGAGGTTTGATGTTCTGTGGGAAAGCTCTTTAATGATTGTGAAATAATTCTAAAGGGTTTTATAAAGGTGCTTACAGTGTGAAGTAGAAGGTCATTGCTTGAAAATACCACCATGTGCCTTGGCCAGTTTGGCTCAATGGTTATAGTGTTGGCCCAGAGACCAAAGAGTCATGGGTTCAATTCCAGTCAAGGGCACACACCTCAGTGGCGGTTTAGTCCCCGGTTCTGGTTGGGGTCGTGTGGGAGGCAGCCAGTTGAGGTGTCTCTCTCACATCGATGTTTCTCACTGTCTCTACCCCAACCCCCTCGACTCTGTCTGAAGATAAATGGGAAAATATCTTCGGGGAGGATTTAAAAAGAAAAGAAAATACCACCATGTGCATCTTTTTCTCATGAATATTGTTTTAGATTGAAGTAATCACAAAATTTTTGAGGAAAAAGTAAAAGGATCTTTGTAAGAAGGGTATTTATTATGAAAGTGTAAGTCAAGTCATTTCATTCACAAAGGGGCAATTTACTGGACTACCACCGATGCCTTATGATTTGGGGAGAAGTGGAGTCTGGCTCCCAGTGTAAATGGGCTGTGTCCGAGCCTCTCTGGAAAGTGGAGCACGCACTGCAGGGCCACCTACCAGGGTCGATGGATGCGCAGGAGGGTCTTTCTCCTACCGTATAGCCGAGATCCTCTTTACCAGCCAGGCAGACTCACTTTGTGTGGAATTCTGTTTGGAGAGTTACACTGACATTTCAGTGAAATTCAGCTGATGATATTTATGATCTCAGTTTAGGAATTGTAAATAATCACTTCTTTTTGTTTGGAAACTGCCTGAAGTAGCACAATCCTTATAGCTGAAGCCAAGTAGCCAGGGAAGGTTGGAGGGCAGCCTGGGTGGGAGGTGGGCAGCTTGCGCTGAGGGATGGGGGCAGGGCGCCTGGGGGCTCTGCCCTCTTGGCTGAGAGCTCAGCATAGGCTGCTTCCTCTGGTCGTTCGGCGGTTTCCTTAGGTAATTTTCAGGGAGTTCTGAGACCTGCTGCAGAGCAAAAGGGTGAGCTGGTGCACAGAAACACTCATGATGGAGATGAGAACACAGGCCTTCTGCTGTGTCTCAGGCTCCTCTGGTGCCTGAGCTCTGTGATCTGCTCAGAAATAGAGCTTGTGAGCTTGGTTACGTATGTGGGCTGGGCTTGTATAACTCTGCAAGCAGAAACATCTAGACATGCTGCAGAACAATAAAAAAATAAATTCTTAAAAGCATCCAAGAGCTGAGAAGAAGTAAAGTAATCACCAGTTAAAGAAAAAGCCTGAGTTGTGCTCATTGTGCTCTCCACTGAATTGCCAGGGAGCGTCAGCCAGGCGGGCGGGTCCTGGTGTGTAGGGCACAGAGTGAGGGCACAGAGTACAGCCTGAGGCTGCCCGAGGCCGGACTGGAGGTGCAGGCTCTCCCTTCACAGAGCCCCTGGGCACTTGCCCCTGGGGCGGATTTGCAGCCTGAATCCATAGCACTGTGTTATCTCCAATGCTGCATGAGTTTAAATGACTCCCTGGTTGAGGACTGATGTCCTCAGGCACCTGGCAGAAGGAAAGCAAGTCCCGATGGGAGGAGGACACCTTTCTCCTAGGCCTCAGATAACTGCTCAAGTCTTTTTACAAGAACAAGTAGCACAGTCAGAAAACAAGCACAGTCAGTAAAGAAGTCATACCCTGGCTGATTTGGCTCAGCGGTTAGAGTGTCGGCCTGCGGTCCAGAGAGACCCGCATTTGGTTCCCACTAAGGGCACGTACCTTGGTTGCAGTTTGTCCCTGTCCTGGTTGGGTTGTGCCGGCGTCAGCCACTCGATGTGTCCCTTTCACGTTGATGTTCCCCCCCCCCCCCCCACTCTGTCTGAACAAAATATGGAAAGATGTCCTTGGGTAAGGATTAAAAAAAAAAGAAGAAGTCATGAGTAAGAGCAGAGATTAGAACTACAAATGTTAGTCACAGAGCCTAAAACTGTATTTCTTATCTTTTAAGGAAACAAAAGAACTTCAAGTGTCTATAGTCACAGATCTAGCAGTAGTAACAGGTGATTCAGAATGGTCCTGTTACTGACGACCGTCAGAAAAGCTGGAGAAGACACGGCCAGGAACTGGATTTCTGACTGAGGAGTGAAGAAGTACTGGGCCAGGATCAGCAAACATGGCATTCTGGGGTGGGCATAGTTGGTGATCCAAAGCGGTGATAGGAAGCACTGAGTAGTGCCTTTGACATGGTGGAACTGGTGGGGAAGGTAGAGACTGGGACCCCAGCATAACCCCAGGAGTGCACCAGTCCCTGAACTGACTGCTGCTGGACTCCAGGTCCCCGGGGAAATCCCAGTCACCGAAGATTGTCAGGTTCCCAGGTGCCTAACGGCAGCAAATGGAAAATCCACTCTGGAGGATGGGAACATCAACCCAAGCCTCAAATTATTTCAACAAAATGACTCAAATGTCTGACAGAGAAAGGGAAGTAGGCAAGACAGCGTGGATAAAAAGTCAATAAAGATTGACGAACAGGGTCTCCAGAACTATGCTTACCACCTTCAAGAATATTAAGTATTCATTATGTTTTAGTGATTGCACAATTGAAAGAGATGGAAGTGTGAGAACTGAACATTATGTAATCAAACTTAGGAAGACAGCTAGTGAGCTAACAGCAGAGTGGAAGCTGAAGAGAGCATCAGTGACCACAGAAGGGCCGCAAGGAGGACTCCGGTTATGTAGCCAGATGGAAACCACACTGGGTGGTGAGCACAGGGTCACATCGTGAACATTGAATCGTAATGTTTGTATACCTGAAGGCGACCCAGTGTGAACCAGTGCCACCTAAATAAAAAATAACAGGAAATTAAAACCATAAAAATGAAAGAATTCATACTGAGACATGGAGAAAGAAGACTGAAATACAGAAAAGATTCTAAGAGGCATGCGATGGATTGTGAAAAGGCCTAGTTTATGTATAATTACTCAGAAGGAGAAGAAAGAAGGTAATAGGCAGAAACAGTGTTTGAGGAGATCGGCATTGAGGACTCTCCTGCGTAGCCGAGCAGCCAGGGCAGACCCAGGGGGGAGCAGGGGTCTGCACCTGCAGACGTCACAGTGGAACTGGAGACAAGAAAATCAGAGGCCAGTCTCATTAGTGGATTTGGACTCCAGGTTCCTGAACACAGTTTTGGCAAACGAAATCATGCAGTGTATAAAAGAATAATGCATCCCAACAAAGTTGGATTTATTCAAGATCTTCAAGATTGGTTTAACATTGAAAGATGAATCATTGCTTTTTCTTTTTTAAAAAAAATTTTTTATCCTACTCAAAGAAAAGAGAAAGGATATGTTCATCTCGAAAAATGCTGCCAAAGCATCTGCTAAGGTCAGTAGTAAATGAGTTTACAGTGGGAAACCAGGAATAGAATGAAATATCCTTAATCTGACAAATTATATCTACAAAAAGAAGAATACCTAGCATCAAAAAAATAATTGAGTTTTTCAGGATTACTAGATACAAGGATAGTAAATAAAATCAATTGTATTCATAAAATCAAAATATTCAG